TTCAAAGGAAATAAATTGAATGTTTATAGGTTAATCAAATGTTAAGTTTATCGAAAGCGTTATTTATTAATCAAACTCTTGGGCACATTTTTGTTAGTTTATGAAATTCCAAAAAAAACTTCATTAGGAATTAGGCCTATACAGTAATACCAATGTAAGAGAATTTATTCAGATTTTATGCTTAACATTATAATGTGATCCCATATAAATACTTAATAATTATTAAAATCTCCGTTTTTAAAGTAGAAATCCAAAATTGTTTTAATTAGTTTTTTACAACTAAACAAAGAGATAGTTATTATCTCTAATACTTAATGCCTTAATTTCGAAAATATAAGGATTCTAAAATTAGAAAGATTTTGTGATGTTTTATAATTTGCCTTTTAAAATTCTGAGAAATCAACTATTAAATAGTATCTATTATATATATTCATCTTATAAAATTTAATTATAGGTACAGTAATATTATTAAGGAGCTTAGAGTGTGAATATATATATAACATAATTCTATCCTGAGAATTAAGACCAATATTGTAGGATAGTTGATCTGGTATTACACTTATCGAAAACCTAAATAAAATAAAAGTGATAAATTAGATTAATTATAATACAGCAATATCTAATAAAACATATAAAAGAATAGGAGGAAAATTCAAAAATTGTGATAGATAATATTAATTTCAAAAAGAATAAAATCTAAATGAGTAAATAGTCATGTTGATAAAGTCATAACTAAAAGAAGGAATTCAAATCAAGGTTTTATTCATAATTTAGATGAAATTAATAATATTTTTGAAGAGAATTTCTATTAAAAATCTTTGCAACAAAAAATAAAATATTAAATTATGACGAGAGGGATCATACTATACCAATACTAAATTAAAAATTATGAATCGAAGTAGAAGCTAGTTGTAATTTACTCTAGAGGATTTTATAAGAATCAATTTCTAAGACTATAAAATAACATTTATAAAATTTATAAATAGATCTTAAATATATTTTCTTCTGAATTACTTCTATATCTAATAATTAACTTTAATATATCATCCAATGGCTATTATCATTTATAAATATTGATTAATAAATTGAAATAAATTTTATTTAGAATATTAGTATTTTTATTACAATGATACTTAAATTCTTTTATAGATGAAATAATTCATCTATAAAAAGAATTTAATTCATAATACTTCAGATTATTTTGATATAAAATTTTTCCTAATTTCTAATAGATATAGTAAAATATGATTAATTATTTCAGTTCTAATAGTTTATTTAAGAAAATAATAACTACATCATACATATTTTCACTTCTTCGAATCTAATCTTAATTTCTTATATATAAAAATTAAAATCTCAATTTTCAAAAGCTTAAATATGAAATTTTTAAGTTTTTTGATTTTTTTAGATCAATAATTTATCAAATTATTGTTTCATCATATTGCTTGAGCTTTCATAATATCATCTAATCATTAATAAGTAATATAAGTATGATATTATTTTTTGAATATTGCTAAGTTTAAAAAAATCATTGAATTGCTAATTATATGAAGGAATCTTAAGAATTTTATGATGTCAGAATGATTTCTAATAAAATATAATTCTGTCTTTATTCTAATTGCTGCGAATCAAGAAATAATCCTCAAGAATATTTTTTAGCATATTAGCAAGTAGTTTACTAAAGGAAACAAAATATTATGAAACCTCAAATATATCCAGATATAAATTCATAGTCATTTTTATTATTATCAGCCAAAAAAGAACAAAGATAAATGGTGGTATTAAAATTAAAATTATAGGAAAAAATTAAGCTAAATAGATTTAATTAAATAGCACAAATTAAATAGAATATTTTGTTTTTTCTTCATCAAATGGCCAGCATAAACATAAAAATATTAATAATGAAAAAATAACTAATAAATAATACAATAATCAACTATTTTATAACAAGTTAAACACTCATGAAATATTTCATTTTCAGATATTCGTCTAAACACAAATAATTTATTATTTTTTAATTCTAATTTATTATTTTTAATAAATCAAGACATGAAAAATTGCATTCTACAAATAAATAATTGTAAGTATTATTAAGGAATACTCGATTAGAAGGTTAATATTATTAAAATTTCGAGGAATATCATAATACCCAAAAGCTAAATACATGAGGACTAGTAGGAAGATTTTGTAGAATAATATTTGGGAGATGTAGGGATAGCCTGCCGAATCATGAGATAAACCTACTAAGAGAAAGAGAAGAATAGTCAGTCATAGTAATATAAGATGAGTTACAATGATAATCATAAATTTCAATTAATGAAAATTATGATTAAAAAAAATTAGACTATATTTGATAATTCATAATCTCAAAAGTCAGATCTAAGTATTAAAATATAGATAATTAGAACCTACAAAAGTTGATTGCAATACTTTTTTTGAAAATTATGTTTAATACCAAATTAAGCTAATATTCTGATGATTAAGAATTATATGGAGCAATATAAATTATTAAAAATAGTTATAGAGTATTATATAGATATGGTCTTGAAGCAATGTAAATTTATAATTATTGATTTAAGCTTAGTAGGAATTGAATTGATTATTACTAAACCATAAACTTAGAATATATGCAGCTGAGATTTTTGATGAAGGTACCCCTCTGTTCATTAGACCAAAATATGTTTCTTTTGAAATTCTTATCTAGAGAATTCTAGAACGTCTTAATCTCAAATTTAAACTAATATGTAGAAAATTTAATTCCGATTTATTCTACCTAGAGAATCCAAAACTATGTGACTGAGAGAAACCACCTAGTGGGCAAACCCATATTTATCTTTCAGAGACAATATTTTGAATGATCTTAAACTTAAGAATAAAATCGAAAATTTCTAAAAAAGCATTATCAATTTAATTCAATTTTTATGATATTCAAAAATTAATAAGACTAATTGAAGACTACTTGATCTACTTGAACATCTGTCTAGGTTACTGAAATTACTAATTATTCCTGCTTAAATAACTTTTTCTCAAATCGAATTTAATACTATATTTATAAATCAGTAGAATTCGAACAATTGTGCTAAAATTTATATGTTTTTTTTATGTCTTACTCATAACAATGTAAAAAATAAGAGAGCAAATTTTTGTTTAAACTGCATTAAAAATTAATCTTGAAAGTAATATGAGAAATGGATTAAGTTATGTAAAAAATTTTCGATTTATTTTATTAAATGCTTAAGACTTCATCTTGTATTTATATTTTTATTTTAGGTTCAAGAAAATTTGTAATCTAATAAGATTTTAGGCTTTTTATCAACAATGAATTAATTACTAGTATATAAACAAAATTTACTATTTTAGCATTGTCCTTAGTTGAAAACCTAATTTAGCCCACAAATTGAATAACATTTAGATTATATTAAAATGTAGCCATCCTAACATTTTAAACATTTTCCTTTAACACAAAATGAGCATGAGTATTCGCAATCGTATAAACAAAAATGACAACCATCTCCTTTAACCAAGTTCCCATCATCGCATTATTCATCATTTGCTACTATTCCATCCCCACAAATAGAAATACATTTGTTTCCAATTAAGTGATAACCATTCTTACAAGAAAAGCATTCAAATCCATCAACTTTATCACAAATATGACAATTAAGTGTTGAACATTTATAGCAAAAAGGATCTGGTTCGTAAGAAGTATAGCCTACTTTACAAATACAATAGCCATTAGAATAAATACGATTAAGGCTAGAAGAGCATTCTGTACACCATAAAAAACTTGAACATTGTTCACATTCAATAGGGCAATCAAAACAATAATTAGATTATTCATATTAATCTTTTTTACATATGCATCCTAATTTAGATTTAATAAACGAATCTTAACATGTTAAACAGTAATATTAAGATGAACACGTTAAACATGATGCTGGACATGAATAACATTATAAAGATTTCTAATCAAAATATTAGTTATTATTGCATTCTGCTTAAGAAAACTTAACTATGTTTGGATTGTAATCAGGATCCCACTAATTGCAATCATTTTAGTTAGTACATTGTAAGCAATAAGGCTTACAATAATGAACTGCTATATAATAATCATAAAACCCACAATAGGTTTGCTAAGGTTCATTTTGTGAGCCAAAACATTCCCATTGCATAATTAATGATTATTCAGAATGTTTAATACTTTCTTAAATTTTTTGTATTTAAGAAGAACCCTTTTTTATAATTACAGGATCATTTGATCCAATAGTATAGATAAATTGACTGGTTGCAGGAAAAGATGGTCCAAATAGTATATAAAACCCAATAGTTATGCCATGATGAGGTTGAGGGATTTAATGAACTCTAGAAAATTTAATTTAAGCCCAAATTAGTTAACCTCCAAAAATCCTTTTATTGTTATAGACTGAATATAAGATATCTGATCCTTTCATGAGATTTTTTCCATTTTATGAGATAATAGTATATTGTGAAAATTAACTAGGGTCATTTGTAAAATCTTTATATTCTTATATTAAATATTTAGAATCTAAGGATATTTAAAATAATACAAGGGGTTTCATCATCAAACTCTTAACAATAAGAACCATTTATCTTTTAATGAGGATTCAAGCAACGCGAGCATTAACCATCTTTGTATTTGTAATAAGATGGTTTGCATGTTTAGCATATAAATGGTAATTCACATGATTCACAAAATTGTGGGCAATATCCCGAACTGACATAAATTTACTCGTATGCCCAAGATGCAGAAGCATCACTAAATTTTTATAATTAAATGTACCCATAATTTCCTACAATACCCAAAGTGAAGGGATATGAAGGAATATCTACAAACATATATAAATAATAAGCATGACATGAATTATAATTCTAATAATTTTTTAGAACTTCTTTTTAAGCTAATTTTAATTTATGATATTTAATTGAAGAGCCTTCATTATAAATAGAACCTTGGTAAGTGTTATTAATATTCAATTAAATGCTACTTCCTGATGGAATATCGTTGAATAGCATTAAAGTTACCTTGATACCTACTAAATAGGTTCCATAATCTTGAGATAGCTCCGTTATCAATCTTTCTGTTCCTTAATTAAATTGAAAAATTCCTAACATATTCCCTCTTCACTCATAACTAAAAAAGATAGGTTGTTGATCAGTGTTTTTGAAATCTTAAAGAATTTACATCTTAGGCCTTTCAGAGAGAAAATGATAATCAGCAAAAAGTAGTACCAAGCCTTTTTAATAAAATAAAAATATACTTGGGTAGTATTGGCATTAATTGTTAGAGTAAAATGGGTAAAGATAATCACACGCATCTCTGCATCCAACTTTAGGTATTAAAACCATATTTTAAGGACACTGATTACAAACCCCATTTTAAGAAGTTCCATCAAAACATTTAATACATTAATTAAATTCAGGGCCAAAACAACTAGCACATAAATAATGGCATTAACTTTTTGATATTAAAATATTCTTTAATGAAATCTATGCATTTCCTTAATGTGAAATATTAAACTACATTTGGCTGGTTTGCGAATTTTCTAGAGTTACATTATAAGTTCTAATTTCTGCATAGTATGAATCGCAAAACAATACCAAGTTATCCAACTATAAAGTTGATTGATGAGAAAATGTAAATACTTCATTTCCGAATTAAAAAAATTATTTACTCATTCTACCATATACCTTGGAAATATATATCGAAAGATATGTGAGAACCTTTCTCTAGCGTTATACTGTTTACTTAAGTGATTGAGGGATGATCTTTATTTATGACTAATATTTTAAATTATGGTTAAGTGCATGTTATGATATATGTACCATTTGTCGCAACTTCTTTAAATTATGAAATACTCTCATCATTAATCAAATATTTGTCAAATATTACCCATTATGAAAGATGTTAATATAACATCAAAAATAAAATCAAATCTTAAATTCTTGCCTTAATCATTCAATTAAAATATTTAATAAGAGTAGTATAATGGAATATATTTTGAATTTGTAATTGAAAAGACCTAAGTTTTCAAATTTAATAATTATAATACGAAATTTGATATATTTAAAACTTTGAGAACTTTATTTATTTAGAGGTAATGTCCAATTTTATTGAATTTTTATTGATGGTGGATAATACGAGAGTTATAATGAAAAAATAATAGGGTTTTGATTAGAATTAGATGAAAGGTTCAAGAAGGGTTAATAAATCTTTTAAAATGGGGAATATAATATTTATGGTATGAAGATAAGAAGATTGGGTATAAAGTATAATGATTAGACAATTAATTAAAAAAGAAATTCAAATATTAGTAATAGGGAGTGGATCATATAATGATTCTTTAAGAATTAAGTTTGGAAGATAGAAAGAGTTGAATAATTAGTAGATTTTAATTAAAATATGTACGGCGAATAGAATTTAAAAATGAAGAAAATTAATCTATAGGTAAAAATCGATATTAAGCCAAGTGAGAAACTAAAGTATTGAGGTATGATAATTAAATGTTTATTTAATAGAGGAAATTTTTTAGATGATTTTCATTTTATATGTCCAAAAGATTTCTGAAGCTCATTTCTCGTTTCTAATATACTCATCTTATGAATTGTTAAACTAATTTGAAATTATTTACTTGAAGCAAATAAACATTTCTTCTAAAAGAGGGTTTATCAAAAATGATTTGCCTATTAATTATACCAGTTTATATTTTTTATTTTGCAAACAATATATAAATATTGTTCTTTAGATAGAGTTTTTGCTAAAGAATCTTAATAGAAACATACCAGAACCAAAGCATCAATAATTATGGGGATCAATTTGCATTTCTTGAAAATTTATCATCAAATTCAAGATTAAACACTACTTTGTGTTCGTTATGCTTATATATTATAATTATCAATGATAATTGTTCTTGTGGTATTTATAATTTTTATTTAATTTGTAAACAAATTTTCTTTCATTTTTAGTAGAAATTAAAAGTTTTCTATTTCTGTTATATCTCTTTAACAATAATAAAACTCTTATTTTTAAGTTTAATTATTTTTTTATCATCTATATAAGTACAAATATTGATAGAAATCTCATATCCATATTTAACAATTATTCTCATTTTCATCCATAGAAGACTGAAAATCTAAATAAAAGGAGAATAATAAATAAATTATTACATTTTTTTGTTCTAAGCCGCATTTTAAATTAAAATAATATTTTTGTATGGGTCTTTTATAATATTAGAATATCAATTTAAATTTGTACAAAACTCTGATAAACATCGAGAAATATGATATAAAATAATGAAAAGCGAAAAAATAGGTTATTTTATAATATTTAATTCCTTATTTAATAGGTTTATTAAGAATATAGAAGTAATATTTTAATAGCAATTAATTAAATGATAAGGTTTTATTTTCTCCATTTACTCATATCGCTAGCATATCAAATTGAAATCAACATCTTGGATCCTCAAAATTAAGTATATTACTAAACACAATTACTAAAAGATGATGATTTCACAATGAATAATTTTTTAGTTTATGGTTTGTGGTCTAAATATAATCCACTTAGCAATATAAGATAGACTGGAGAAGTAGGAATGTTTGAGAGTGACTGTTTTTAGCTTCACAATGCCATATCTATTTATAATAAAAGTTTAAATCTGATATACTATGATTGTTTAAATTATCAAACAAAAAAGATTTTTAAAGAAATTTAATTCATTGATAATATAAATGAATAGAATAATTTGAAAGCAAATATAGATGTTTTTGAATATGAAAATATTTGGTATTTCTTTGGAATTTTTTAATAACCAAACTTAAATAAGTTAGAAATAATCATCTAAACATTATCAAAAATTATTCTTCGCAAGATATTGCAAGCAAAACTTCCATTTTCAGATATGGAATTACAATTAACTTTTGGTGGTAGTTTGATTGTAGGTAATTCAAAAATTGACATGATTAAAGAAGGAACAAAATTTTCTTATTTTCCTGGATCTATTATAGTTGGTGAGTTTATTATTGATAAAAAATAACCAAAATTTGATATAGACACTTATTCGATGTTTATTTTAGGAAGTCAAGCTTATTGTTAATGTTAATAGAATGAAGATAGTTAAATTCCTGATATTGATTTGAATTAATTAAATTAAAGAATTTATTTATCTGAGAACCTGAATTGCGACTTTTTTTTATTGTAGGGGTGGATTAAAATAACAGAGAGTGTTAGTTTTAGTGGTGAATTTGTTTATTAGCTAATTAAACTCACATCTAATATTGAGAATTCATAATTATCTAATTAAAACCTTTCTCCTTTCTAATTATTCTATCAAATATCAAATTAATAAAATTAGATCATAGTAACTACTTATAGCTATACATTTCCTAGTGTAACTTTAGATTTTTCAAATGATCCTTTTCTTATTGTTAAAGAATTTAATATTCAAGACGAACTATCTTTATGGCATAAACTGGAAGTTCAAAATAAAGAAAATAATATAAATGTTTAAATTAGCTTTTATAAAGATGGAAATTTTTATTCTTCTTATTCACATGATTTTAATGTACTATTATTTAAACGAAATCAATTTAAATTAGAATATGGTAATTTATTATAAGATTCTATGAATTATCTTAATTTTGAACTTAGAAGTTTTGTATTCACAATTTGTGATCAAAATTTAGAAAATTAAATTTGTCATTAAAGTTGCAAGACTTGTGATGGATATTAAGATGAAAATTGTTTAACATGTTCTGAAGAATCTTAAAGAATTTTTTAATTGAAAAGTAAAGCTTGTGTTTGCCCTTATAATACTATTGATATAGGAACTTGTTATTCTTTAAACGATTCTTAATTTGAATTGATTGAAGATAAAGGTATAAGAAATCAATGCTAATATGGTTATTTTGAATTTGAATATGAATGCTTAAGATGGTATTAATAAAATTATTTTAGTCCTTCAATTATTCGCAAAGATTTTATAACTTGTTTAGAATGTCTTTAACAACCAAAGACTTGGAGTATGTATCCAATATGTGAAACTACTCTATACACTAACTTAGATGGTAGTGTGTCAGAATAAACAAATGATATAGATTTTAATTATTATGTTTATGATGGTGTAGATTTGTCGTATGCTATTTTTCAATAAGAATATACAGTTAAATTAAGCAATTGGATGATTGATTATGAACAAAAGATTTTAAGATTCAAACATTTTTGTTCTTTTGATAAACCAGAATGTTATAAATGTATTCTACCAGGCTGTTATAAATGCCATCTTTCTATAGAAGGCTTAAAATGTGTTCAATCCTAAATAGGATAATAATAAGTTAATGATTATATGTTACCTTCATCATTCAATATGCTAGTACCTTGCCTTTCTCCAAATTATATTACATTTAATAAAATTTGTAAACTTTGCCCAATTAAAAATTGCAAATATTGTTTTGATTATGTAGATTCTGATTTATCTAAGTGTACTCTTTATAAAAATTTTTAAAAATTTGAAGAAGAAAGTATGAAAGTAGGTTGTGCTTTATGCCAGAAAAATTACTCTTTTGATTTTACACTAAATTTATGCAAATAAATAGAACCTCAAATATAAAATTGTTTAAGATCCTTTATCAATTTAGAAGGGTAAGAAGTTTGTACATTATCCTCTATTAATGATTTTAGTATATCTCCTGAAGTATTAAATTGCTAATAATATTACTCATACTGTTTGTAATGTATTTTACTTCCAGATTAAACCATATAATGCATTATTTGTTAGCCTGGTTACACAAATTCTTAATAAGGAGGTGGTTGTTATTCTAATACAAAACCAAATGCTATTACGGTAATATAAGGAGACATTTATGATCAAGATGCTTGGGTTTGGTTAGTCTAAAGTTTTATTATGCAATTCTTGCCTAATTAATATTATTATCCTAAAACATACAATATTTAGGAAATTCCAATAGAATGTTAAGAAGGATATGAAGTATCCATTTTTGGTGAATGTATAAAATAATGTAGCTTCGATTGCAAAATATGTAAAAAGTTTATGGATTACATGTTTATTTGTAAGAAGTGCTCATTAAACTTATTAAAATTGCCAATTAAAAATTAAAAACAAGGCTAATGTGTTACTTGTCCCTAATTATGTGAGGTATGCTCCGATTCTTAATAAGATGACGGATAAACTTAGCTTTGCTTAAAACCAATTTATGATGCTCATGTAACTATTGATCCATACTTACAAAAAGCAAAATATTGTTTTACCGAAAATTGTTTTACTCATTTTAAATTAACAGTTATTTAAAAATTAAATGATTATTGTTTCCTAACTTATTTTGAAACTATAATTGCTATAGACGAAATGTAAATTACTTATAGTAACATGGTTGGAGTAGATTAGATAACAATAGCTTTCTTTATTAATAATTTTTCTGAAGAAATTACTTGCAAATTACATTAAGACTTTTATCCTATTTTACAGACAAATTTAAAAAATTAAATTGCAAGCCTTTAATATGTTAAAATACATTTATCTACTATTTCAATCAATAGCATATTTGAATTAAAATAAGCTTTTGAGTTTCATAATTATGATCAAATTTAAATTTCAGAAATGAGATTTAGTAATGTTTAAACATTTATTTTGAAGAATTAATAGTAAAAAATAGAATTAAATTTAATCAATTTAAGAATTGAAGATAGCATCATTTCAGGAAGTAGTACTTTTTAAACAGAATTCTTTGGCAAAATAACTTTGATAAATGTTACTTTATCAAATTTAAATCTTTTAAACAATTCATTTATAAATTTAGAATAATCTAAATTTGATGGTATTCTTGAAATTGATTCTCTAACAATATAAAATTGTGTTTTAAACAACACAAACCTATTCATTTTAGCTAATAATTATATCACTATGTTTGCAAAAAGAATTATAATTGATTAATGTCAAGTTTACAATTCATCTTTCTTTATGTTTTATTCAAACAATGAACATTTTTAGAACTTGATTAATTTTGATAACATCATAATAAAGAAAACTAAATTTGAATCATCTTATTTTATTAATTGTTTTAATAGGTTTAAGGTAATCATTAATGAATTTAACTTCTTTTAAAATTATGTTATGATGTCTAAGATAATCTCTTTTGATTATTAACTAGAATTATTCTAAAGTAAAACAAACCAAAATACATTCATTTAATCATTATTCACAACAACAAATAGCATTTTAAGATAGGACAAAATAATATGTATTCTTGATAATTATTAATGTAAATAAAATTATCTTTAAGAATCAATTTTATTCTAGATATTTTCAACATATACTATTAATTATGTATTTTTCAACATTACAAACATAGAAATAACAGAAATTAATAGCTTACATTAAATTGGTACAAATCAATAACTGTAATTATTTAAAATTCATGGTAATTAATTACTTATTAAGAATGCTAAGGTGGAGAAAATTATGAATAGCATTGCTTTTTTCATTTTAGACAATTAAGAAATATTAATAGAAAATGTTATATTAGAAAATAAAGATGAAATGTTTAAAATACCTTTATCTATGAAATGTATAGATAAATTATAATAAAAGAGTTCTTAATTTTTACAAGTGATTGGTTTTAAAAGTTTAATAATTAAAAATGTACAAATTAATAGATAAATAAGTGTTGATTATTCTTTGATTGAAGTAAGTTTTGGAAGATAATATTTTAATTATTCTTTTGGTATAATAATTATCTAAAATGTTTCATTTGAAGACAATAAGATACTTAAATTAAAATAAGTTGATTTATTTTCCTTATTATCTATTTATTCTTCTGATGAAATTAAGATTTTAATCAATAATATCACATTTAAACTAAATATTCTTCACCAATCAGTAAATGATCCCTTAGAAACATCTTCGGGGTTAATGTCAATATAAACATTAATAAGTACCTTAGAAATAAATAATTTATTTTGTTATTTGAATGCGTTAACAAATTCATCAACTTCATTTATCTCATTAACTTCATCAGATATCAAGATAACTAATTATACAGTAATAAACCACAATCTGTTATCTTAAGATATTTGGGAAAGATTTTTTGATTTTTAATTTGAATTAGATGAGGATTAGGAAAATATTAATTTAATCATATAAAATACTATAAAAATTTTAAATAAAGGAGGAGGAGGATAAATAGTTGCTAGTAAATTTTAATGTACTGATTGTTATTTTGAAAAGATTTTGGCTTAGAAAAGTGCTATTTTTGAGATTAAAACATAATTTGAAGGGGCAATTACATTTAGAAATTTAACAGCAAAATAAATTTAAACTAATTTATAATAAACTGGTAGTGGATGCATCACAATTTATTCCCAACTTAGTATTTTAAATTTAAATATTATTGGGTCTATTTTTTCTGATATTTTTAATAGATTTTCCTCATCCATACTCACTATTTAACCATCACTTCAATAAAATACTATAATTCTAAATAAAATTGAAATTAAAAATTGCATTTCCTTAATAAATCAATTTTTTAGTTTTTAATTTAATTCTTTAACTTACTAAGCCAATTATGTGGAAATTATAGATTTAATTGCCATATAAACGGAAGATGTTTAAATTAAATATTTAACTTAAATTGGTATTATTACTTCAACAGAAATGTAATTTATAATGAGTAACAGTAATGCAGTTATATATATTGATGAAAGCACAATTACAATAAGGAAAGTCTTTTTTGAAGGAATTTATTTATCTCCTATTTTTATATTCAACAACCCAGTTATATTGAAAATGAACAAATTCTAAATTTATTCAATTTAAACTTTTAATCCATCTGGTTTGATTTAAATATTTTAAAAAAAAGGAATAGAATCATAAATTTAATTAGATTCAGTAAGTATAATAAAAACTTCAGCATTCCAATTAAAATCAAATTTAACTTTTCAATTTAAGGAGGTAGATTACAGTATTACAGGATGTAAATTGTATAAAAATTCTACTTAGAAATTTTATCAAATTTCTATAAATGATATTCTCAAAGAATTTACGAATTTTGTTTAAGAATTTAGTGCCTTAATTTATATATCAATGAAATCAAATCATCATTCTGTTGCCTTTTAAAATATTAATATTTAAGACAATAATTGCACATTTTGTTCAAATGGAATAATTTATTTTAAGATAGAAAATTTATAATTATTAAGAATTCGTGATTTTCGTTGTAGTTAAAATATAATATTAGAATATGGATGTATTCATTTCTTTTCAAATCCTTAAATTTATCCAAAAATTTCCATCAAAAACTCTAATTTTATTGATAATAAGGGAGGATCTGGAGTTGCCATAATGGCCAATTATACATTCTTATAATTAGAATTTTGTCAAATAGTTTAAAATTAAGCAAATTTTTCAGGTGGTGGTATTTATTTATAAGCAATTAATAATAATTTTAAAATAAAAGAATCAATAATTTTATTCAATAAAGCCAGAGAAGGAGGTGGACTTTTTATAAATGGAGAGAATAATCTAAATGATAATAATTTTATCTAGTCATATTTACTAGAAAATATAGCATCTCTTTATGGAAATTAAATAGTAGAAGCCCCGAATCATATTGCTCTTTCTATTAATGGCAAAGAAATGAATTCATAGCCATATATTATAAATAATACATAAACTAATATTTTAAACCTTAAACCATATATAATTATTGAATAAGGTATTACATTGATATCAAATATTTTAATGTTACCAAGTAATTAATAAATTTTAAACTATTAAATTTATCAACCTAGATTCTAAGGGCATATAATTTATATTTATGACTTTACTTTATATTTAAAAAATAGTAGAAATGAATGGCTAAAAAATAAATTCAATTCGACATGCATTATTAGTTAATCAAAAAGTTATGGATAAGAATTAATTAACCTTGATTAGAGATAAGAAAAAGCAAATATTAAATTTGATACTCAAAATAATAATTTTAATTTAGGATAACTATCATTAACTTTAAATCCATATTAAGAATAGAATGAAAAATTGTTAATTTAATTAAGTTGTAGGTTAGCAGATTCAAATAAGTATTTGGATTATGTAATATAAACAAAAGGGTTAAAGTGTTAATTAGGTGAATATTTAATTGATGATGGTTGTCAAATTTGTTAATCTCTTTAAGGTTTTTATTCTGTTACATACAATGCTACAAAATGTTCAGTTTTCGATAAAGCTAAATTTTAAAGTATAACCTCAAATTAATTATAACTCTTAAAAGGTTATTGGAGACCCAATCATTTATCTGATTCAACAGATTATTGTTTTAAGAATCCTAAATTTTGTTTAGGAGGTTGGAAAGTTGGCAATGATTTATGTAGTTTAGGACATATTGGAGGATTGTGTGAAGAGTGTGATGTATATAATATCAGAGGAGATGGATAATTCTTTAAAACATCAAATGAAAATATGTGTTTAATTTGTTTTGGGGATTATGATAGCATTTTACCATTTATTCTCACATTAATCTGGTAATAATAAATAATCATTTTATAGGGCTTTATTATCCACATTTTTAACTTTGAAAAGTATAAAACAAACAAATAAATTGTTTACAAACTTCAAACTAAGCTAAAAACATTTTTCAATCATTTTTAAATTAAATTAGGGTATCAAAAATATTTTAATTAGATCGTGAAAGCATCTTTTTTAAAATGTTATTAAATTATGTATGGATATATTCTGTAATATTTACTTTTAATATCACTTTCTCTTTTTCATTCATTTTTGTTAATGAAGCCAGTAACACAACTTATTTTATGGCTAATAATTTAGATTGTTATTTATCACTTATTAATTTTGGAAACCTAATTTACTCAAGAATTATTGCAATGCTTATTTTGATCCTTTTACAATTCCTTATTATATTAATTTTATCTCTCATAACTTTTTATCTTACTAAATAGAAAATATATCCATATGAAACTATTTCAAATACATTAATTTATTTATATTTATCTAATTTTGGTGGATTAATTAAAATGTAATTTAATTTCTTATTATTATTAGGTTTTTTTCAGTCTTATCAAAACGAGTAATCTCAAACTAAAATTTTATTTAAGGTGATGTAGCCTTAGAATTTGGATCTTAAACACATTTTAACTGGATTTATATATTAATTATTCCAGGTTTAGGATTATTTTGTATATTGATACCGTGTTTTTTATTCATTTTAATGTACAAATTAAAAGGTTAATTTGATTCTATTAGACTAAGAAAACATATCTGTTATTTATTCAATGAATATGATTCTAAAAATTATTTTTGGGAATTAATTAAATTAATAAAAAAAACTATTATAATCCTTGTTCTAACCTATTTTGAGACTTAAATTTTTTTGAAAATTTCCTTATTAGGATTATGTTTACTCCTTTATCAATTATTAATTGTCAAGCATAAACCATACACCATAAAAAGCTTAAATCATTTAGATCTGGAATCTGGTTAAATATGTTCTATAGCTATTTTTCTTGCAACAACTAAGTATATTTGTGAATAAGATAATAATTTTGTTTTTTCAATGATTCTATAAATTATTATTATTATCCTTTGTATAAAATTGTGTTTTCCTTTTTTGTTAGGAATCATAATTTTATATAAGAAAAAATACTAAACATTACTTTTCAATTTGCTATATTCATTTTTTTCATTAATTAACAAGCATTCCAAATTATCGAAAATATTCTAATAACTGCTGAAGAAATTAGAATTAAACGAAGCAAGGAGGAAAAATAATTTAGTTAAATTAAAATTTCTATTACTGAGTTAAATAAGTATAAGAAAGTACATACATATATAAAATTTAGATAAAAATCATTAGCAAATAGAATAAGCTTAGAATCTAATATACATTAAGACTTCCACTCATAGTCAAAAATGTTTTTAGTTCGATCTATAAATTGAAAGGAGAGTTGTTTTGAAAATTAATTACATTATAAATAACAATAAATATGAAAAACTGTATTTTATTTATTATTTTTTTGAATTTAATCTTTAAATATTTATATTGCTTAAATATTTTGAAAAAATTACCTTAACAAAGTTATGTAAAATACATAATTATTTAAGTTCAGAATAAGATTGTTTAACATATTTTTCTTAGGTGAGAATTCAAAATATATTGAAAGTTAGAAAATTAAGTATAAATATATATAGTTAGTTTTATTATTTATAATAATATATAATCATCCTTTTGAATAGAGATGATTATCATAAGGGAATGAAAATTATTAATAGCTTTATTAGTAAAATATATTACTTCAAAATTGAATCATCGATAATATTGTAAACTAAACCAATAACTAATAGTTACAATTTAAGAAAACATTAATCACTTTTAAATCAGACTAAGACTGACTTTTGATTAAAATATATTAATAGAATATGAAATAAATAGAATGAAATGAATATTTCCTATTATTATTGTGATAATTCTTGATATTACAATAAAAATAACATAAAAGATAGATTTTAAATCGATTTTTTAGATCATTTAGATAAATATTAATATAAAACAATTAATTCATAAAAAGTAAAGTATATCTTTGTATATATTAAAGTATGATAAATTTCTTTTGGAAGAAAATAATTTTTGTGAAAGAATATGTTTGTATTACAATATGAAGATCAACAAACACATTTAATAATTTTGTTTCCATTATTCAATACTTTTCTCTAAATTGATGGATTGGTAAATTTATTAATTAATCATATTTATAAATAAATTAAATATTCCAATCTAATTCCAAACTAAGAAAATCTAAATAATAAAAATTTGAAATTTTATTATGTCAAATGAAAGTGATGATGATTTGAAAATGAAAGATGCATAATTAAGAGTTGATTTCAAATTAATTTAAAAATTTTAGACAAATGAAAAGTTCTATGCTATGGATTTTGATTAATCATCGTCTCTTATAGTTATTGGAGGTATTAGTGGATTTATTCGATTACTTAAATTTCAAAAGAACAAATTGAAAGTATAAAAAGTAGTAAAAGCTCATAGATTAGTAATTTGTATAGTAGTAATCAAAAATTCAAATTAATTCTTATCATGTGGAGATTTAGTAATTAAAATCTGGTCTTTAAATGGGATCTAACTGAGACAATTATAATAATTGTGTGGTCATTCCAGACCTATTAGATGTTTAATTATAAGTCAGAATGATGATTTAATTGTGTCTGGAGGACATGATTTTATAATTAAATTTTGGAATAGAAATAATAATGCTTGCAAATTTGATTAATAATTGTTAGAACACTAAAATTTCATTAGTGGAATAAGTTTAAATGAACAATCAAATTAATTGATTTCTACAGCTTGGGAAGAACCTCTTATAAAAATAAGTCAATAATAATCTTGTAAGACTTGGGTTGTTATTTAAACGATTGAAATAGATTAATGGGGTTTAAGATTTTGTTTCATAAGTGATCAGATGTTTTCATTTCAACCTTTTAATGGTTAGACAATGCACATATATCAATTTTCTCATTAGAAGAATATTTATGCTATCACCAAAACTATAAATGTATTATAAAGTTAAGAAGGATGTACTAATTTATTTCCGTAATAATTTATAAAATAAAAATCTATGTTGATTAATAAAAATGGTGAATGTATTAATATTATTTAAATAAAAAATAATGGTGAATGCATAATCTAATAACAAATAAAATTTGGTCATTATTGTTTAAATGGAAACATAAGTCATGATGGTCAATATTTGATTACATGGGATATGAGTTCAAGCTAAATATAGATTATGTAAAATCTAAATTTTTGATAAAGAATTATTTATGTGATTTTGCATTTAAACAAATTTATCCTTAAATTTAATAATAGTTAATTTTGAAATTAGATATTAAAATTAAATTTAATTTAGAATTTATTAGTGCTCATCTAATTAATATTTTTAGTTATATAAAAATAGCATTCATTTCAATAGTTATTGATTATTTGAAATGGTTAAAATATGTTAATACTGTGTGCTAATTCTAATTACTTAATATTGTCAAAGAAATTAATGTTGTTATTATAATCATTACATACTAAGAGTAACCATAAATTTAGGAGCATTTTATAATAAACTCTATTTGATATTAAATATATTTAGATTTTTCATCTTCATTTGCATTTTAAACATTTTACAATTATTTCAAAAATCTTATTATAATTATTATATCTACTTTGTTTCACTTTTATATCTAAAGGATGTTCATATTTGTGTAAATTAATTAATTTTTATCCTCTGATATTTTAATATATTTATTAATTAAAACTAAAATATATTAATTTGTTATTTTTATCCTTCATTTTTCAAATGATTATTAATATTCTATAATTCTTAATTATTCTGATTGCTCTTTTTCAATTTTTTATCTTATTTCTTTAGTTAGCTTCCATTTTATCCTTTCCTCTTTCATTTCAAAATAATTCACTGAAAATGGATGGATTAGGATTTATCATTTAAAGTCAACTTTCGAGAAACAACTAGCAGTAATTATAAAAAAAGCCAATATCTTTTTCTTTTTTGAAATTAACCAGACCTTAAGTAATTCATTTACTAATTCGTAAAACCAATTAAAATTTTGGTTTTGTCTCATAATTCTAATCATAATTTGAGATTAATATAAATAAGAGAAATTAAAATAAAGTTTGTAAATCTATGTAGTTATCTTTATAAAGATTAGTAGTTATGAAAATGAATTATTATTATTCTATTTAAATTGTTTTTAACATTTCAAAATAATATTTGAACTATTTATAACAGAGTTTAATGTTAAAGTATTTCTAATCAAATTATTTAAAAATATTAAATTCAGATGGAAATAATAATTAATAATTGCATTAGATAAATATGTTTTAATTATTTGATATTAAGATTTGAATCAGAATTAAGATTATATTTTTATTATTGAATATATTGAATCGCAATTATATAATTAAATTAAAACAAAATATAGAAAAAAATTGAATTAAATCCTCATATGCACAATCTAGATACTAAGGATAAAAAAATCTAAAAAAGGATGTTTATTTACAAATATTATTATGATATTATAAAAGATCGAAATTTATAAAGTGCACCTAAAAATATACAAAAATAATTTTCAATAAAATATTATCTAATATCTCCAAATTAACAATATATAGCAATTTATATGTAGAGTTAAGATGATACTTCTTACTAATAACCTGATGAAATTTTACTTGAAATAAGAGATTTAAATACTAATAAAAATATTGATGTGGAAGATTGTTGGATGGATGGAAAATTTGATATAAACACTTAGATCACTCTATTTTCTCCAGATTCTAAATATCTTATCTTATTATCTTATAACAAATAGATAGTTTTTATATTTGATTTAATCAATCAAACAACAAATTCGGAATATATTTCAACCTAAAAATTATTATCAATTGATTAAAACAATAATGTTTTTCTTCTTGATAAATAACAAAATTTGATCATCTATTCAATTCATAATCAATAAAAATAATTGATAAACTTTGGCTTTATGATTGATAAGTTTGTAACAATAACTGATCATTTTGCTTTGATTTTATCATCATAATCAGCAAAAGTAATTAATTAATAAAATATTAAACAATTATGTAGATGGCCAAATTTAAATCATAGTATACAAAATTTTATTGTGATGAATAAATAAATAATTATTTAAATAGGTAACAAAACAATATTAAGATATATTAGAACAGGCAAAATTATAAGAAATATCGAATCATAAAAATCATCCCTTTAACACATATAAAAAGAAAATTTAACAGTATATTTGTTTGTAAATAATGTATTTAAGATTATTAAATGGGATTCTAAATTAAAGGTAACCATAAAAAAAGAAATTAATTAATTTATAAGATTTGATATTTTAAGAGGTGTATAAAAATTGTTTTATATTGATATTGATTTCATTAAAAAATGTGCAACAATGACAAATAGATTATATGCAGATTTGGATAATAAGAAATAATTTTTAAGATACTTAATATTTAAAAATAACAATGAAATGTGATGATTTTTGTTTACATTAAATTTATTGATTTTTTTCTATCCAATTTTAATAGATTGGCATATTTATGTTAAGAGTCGAAATAGATAATTTAAATGCTATAAAAAATATTTTATTTATAATATCCATATATGTAAAAATTATAGCTAGAAATAGATTCTCACATATTCAGTTTATTTCTTAGTATCTTAAGTAAATTAAAATCGGTTATGCGGTTTAATCTTAAATAAGAGAGTGTTTTTTTTGATGATGTATGAGTTTTAACAGAAATTAATAAAATAAAAAATGTTCTTAAAAATTTTACAATATTATTATATCTTAAAATATTTATTCATTAGATATATTTTCTTATTTAAATTTCCTTACTTTTGTTATCATAAGTAACAATATATCTTCCATCATTTGTAACAACTCCAATTATATATTCTGTTTCATATTTAATTTCTTATTCTAAAAGAAATTCATCATTTTCTATTTTAGTTATATTGAGATATTAACCATTTTTGTGGATTAAATATGAATTATTAAATTTCATTTAAAAATTATCATAATCTTAACAAATTGAATTTAATTTAAGTTCCTCAACTTTTTTAAATATATTATTTGTTGTATCCATCTTGTAAATATCTAAACCAGGAAAACCTTTAGGTTAATAAACAAATTATTCATCATTTATAAAACTTAAACTATACCCAAAAGATGTAATAATAGTTTATTTTAAAAACCAACATTATTAATTATTATCGAATTGAAATACTAAAACTTTATTTCCCCATGATTGACACGAAATCAATAAGTTTTATGAACTATTTAAACTTAAACTACTTACCCATGCATCATGATTAGTTAGAGTTTAAATGCAATTCCATTCTTTACTTTTACTCCAAAACTTGATTGTATTATCACGACTACCAGAAATAATTAAGTCTTCATTTAAATTCATTATTAAGCATTAAACAACAGAAATATGAGCTCTTAATATCTTTGAGCAATGCCATTAAGTTGTAAATTAATCTTAAGACCAAATTCGAATTGTTTTATCAAAACTTCCAGATACAAACTAATTACAGTCTTTCATGAAATACAAACATTGTACTATATTAGTATGTTCACAAAGTTCTTAATTTAATGTTATTTTTTCATTTTTGAAATCATATATCCTTATTTTATTGCTAATATGTCCAGAAATTAGAATCGAGGAATCTTAATTGAAAATTAAAGAACGACAGAGATCTTCTTAACAAATACTTTTATCAAAAAGTTATTCATAAATTTATTTATTTTATTTTCCTTCATCATTATGAATAACAAACTAATTTAATTTATCTAAAGTTTCTACAAAATCATAAGAATTATAAAGGCCTGCACTATTTATTATATTTTCATAATTTTCTTACTCTTTTTGAAATATTTTATAAGCAGATTAAACAATATCATTTGATAAATTTGAGTAATTGAATAGTTTTAATTTAATATTGTCCCAAGAAGAATAAAATTAAACATTTTCCTCCATTTCAAATAAGAATCTTGTCATTCCTTTTATTTTTTCTTTTATTTATAGAATTTCATTATCTATTTTATTTGTATTCTGTTTAATTGCCTGTTAAAGAGATTATTGCCAATTAGCTAATTTCATTTTCAAATTCATTAAAATCTCAATGTTTTATGTATATAATTCTTCCGACTCTTTTTTTAAGATATTTGAAATATTTTTTGGAACTAATATCATTTCTTAAATGGTTTTGTTATCATTCTCCAAATTGGCAGTGAAATCTGTTATGCATTTTATACATAACTTTTAAATGTTGTTAGCAACTAATATTATATCTTAATTATGCTTTTGACATTTTTGTGAAGATGAATACTTAATCATGAAATTTGAAATAATTTATGCTTAATTTAAATTTTTGATATTAATTTTTATTTAAAGAGTTTAATATCAATTTATCCACCAATAATTATCTTATCATAATTAATATAATGATTGTTTATATTAATATTTATTCCCTTAATAATCTATGAAAAAGATATATGAAAAAAAATTCTCCAAAGACATTTAATTTCTTTTTTGTTATAAACTATCGTTTATAAAATTTATTTGCATAATTTTTTACAATTCAAAAAGGTAGATAAATTTTTAAGTTTGGTGATTCTTCTTTCATTTCCTCTTTGACTAAAATGCTTAGATTATTTATGATTATAATGAACATTACCGTAATTTATTGATCATACATTAATTTTTGTAGTTTTTGTTATGATTTTGCTTACGAAAATTCTTTTTTTTTTTCTCATATCTTTAATGTAAATAAGTTTAAATCAATTATCTGATTAGATTAATGGTGAATATAATACATAGTTTTACAGAATTCTATTTTTGGTCAAATTCTATTTTTTAATTTCAAAAAATCAAATTAGGTCACCCTACGTATTTTTTATCAAAAATAATAATTAAATGAAATATTTTTAAAAATAATATATATTAAAAAAATTAAAATATTTAAAATAGATTTGGATTAAGATATGTTTAATAGATTAGTATTTATTAATTTGACAAAAGGATTATCTCAAATCCTCTATTATAATCGAAGTATTTGCATCAAATGATTAGATTATTTATTACATTAATTTATTTATATTAATATTAAATCACAATTCTCATAAACATATATAAAATAATTCAACTTGAAAGAAGGCCTCTTATACTTTATAAATTTGATTTCAAATTATTTACAACTTACTGGAATAAAAATATAATTTAAACTAGAATTGATAAACTTATTAGTGAGATAATCATCCATCCAATTATATATTTCTATTCAAAATCTAATATCTTGCTATAATCTTCTAGAGATATTAAAACATTTAATAATGTAACAAAAAATATGCAAAAATCAGGTATAGCTGTTTTGAAAAATGATATTTTATCTTTATAAGGATTTTCATAAAGTAAAAAAGCCTAATTTATAGAGCAAGATATACAACATAAAATAGTTTATAACAAAGGCTTCTAGTAAAAATATAAAAGTGAAAAAATAAATGCTGCTTTTCGAATAATATTTAAATAACAATATTTTTTGGCATGTGAGTTTTCAAAATTAATTGAATGGTATATTGAAAAGAATTTGCGTTAATAAATGGAATGTTTTAACAAGAGAGCATGCTTTTAACTAACATGAAAATACACTTAGAAAATAAGAAAAATAAATATCAAAGCAAATAAAGCTAATCCAAAATTAATTATTAAGATGAAATGATTGAAATTATTAGTGCAAGTGATTTGTAAAAGGCTTGCCATAAATATATCTAATATAAATAAATCAATTATCGAAAATAAATGAGACTAAAAATTCTATTTATATTCGTAATTAAACTTAAAAATTGACAATGATAATTTAGATAATTTTTAAAGATTTTCTTAAAGATTTTCATGAGGTTTTTGTAAATTTTATTATTAGCCTTCAATTTATTATTATTAATAACAAATTGTGTATATTTAAATTTTTTGTGTTTATTATGTTGTTTTAATAAACAATTTTTTCTGAAAGATCATTAAAATAAAGGATGCTAAACCGTAAATAAGAATAGAAATCAAAAATAAAATACAAAATACTTAAATATTTTAGATAAATAGTGGATTGACACCTTTTTCAGCGAATTTTGGAGGAGCTTCAAAATAATAAGAATCTGTAGGTTAATTAAGTTCTATTAAATTTGGAATGGCAAAAATATCATCCCATTAGATTTCTTTAAAAAAGGATTAAACATTAAGTGGATAGTCTATATTAAAAAAATAGAAATAATTTATCCAAGTTAATATCTCCAAAATTGTCCAAAAAGAGTCTAATCCACCAAAGATTATAGTAAGAGGTCCAATTAATTAAAGAAGGAATGTGAATTAATTAGAAGCACTAACTATTTATAAGGCTTATTCTTTTTATTCCTGATTGTAAAATATTTATTTTCTGGGTGTAATTACAATTTCTCTTATTTCATTTAAAAATCTTGAGGATTAATTAGATAACGGTATCAATAAATGTATCAAATTCACCTCTGAAATAGTTTTAAAGAATTAAAATTCAATTTAACATCCATAAATTGATGTTTCATTAATTTTAAATTATATTAAGCTATAGTTAAATTCTTATGGTTCAAAAAGATTAATTTTGATTTGGATTAAAGAGCATATATTTAAAAAATTAATTTCACTTTTTAATGCTAAATTATTATTAGAGTTTGAGTTAGTAAAAGTGATATCAACTTTTTTTTCTGGAATTTTAGAACAAATATTTTATTAACATTCATAGCCATTTTCAATTTCACATACAGAAGAACAACCATCTTTATCAAATTTATTACCATCATCACATTATTCATCTCCTGCCTTAATATTATCTCCACATTTATTAATACACTTTTTAAAATTATAATCAAGATATAATCCTTATTTATTATCACATTTTTCACATTTATCTAATTTACATTAAGTACAATTATTTGGAGTCTTTTCACACTCTTCGCATTACTCTGAACATTTGATACATTCATACTCAAATAAGAAATATCCTTTTAAACATGAAGTACATTTGATATCACCTTTTATATAGATACAATTTTCGCAATTTGATTAACAAATGTTACATATACTTTTTTGTTATTCTATTTTACATTAGTATCCTGCATCAATCATACATTAAGTACAACCATCTCTTGAAACATTATTACCATCATCACATTATTCAGGCGTAAGAACTATTCCATCCCCGCATGTACTTATACAAACTTAATTTTCTATTTTATATCCATCAACACATTAAATACATTTGTCAATTATACAAATTTTACATAGTAATTCACATTAAAATCTACATTAATTACATCCATCATCAGACTATTCATTTCCATCATCACATTATTCATCATAAGCTTTAATTTTATCTCCACATTTTGAAAAACATATATTCTTATGATCATCATAATACAATCCTTTTGACTCATCACATTATTTTCTCTAAAAACATTTTTTTTACTCTGAATTATAATAATATGATTCTATACAAGATAAACATTTTCCATATTGACAATTTATACATGTTTCTTGACATTAGAATTTACAATTAGAACAACCATCATATAAAATATTATTACCATCATCACAATTTTCTTCACTTAATATCATTTAATCTCCACATATCGAATCACAAGAATTTGTTATTGAATTTAAATAGTAGCCTGTAGAACAATTAATACATAATCCTAAATGACAATATTAACAATTAAGAGGACACTTAAAATATATTTGTTAATAATCTTAAATCAGATAATTGCATTATTCATTCCGAGCTAAAATTGCATCTCCAAAAATCAATTTACTATTTTCTTTTATATTTTCTCTTTTTCTCATTAAACATTATGATTTTGTGCATGATAAACAAATTGATGAACTTTCAATATCACTTTAAGAGCAAGTTGTGTATAAGATATTATTTTCATTATTTTTCAAATAGTCTATGATTAAATCATCTCTTTGATCAAAAAATGCCAAATTTTATCCTATAATTAGATAACTTTTAAAATATGTAAAATATATTGATTAGATTTATTACATAATCTCTTTTTTTTATAGTGCTAATGATTAGAGAGTAATAGCTTTTAAATAAGTATTGTATTCATAAAATAAATATAATTCTTAATAGTCATATGTATCAGAAAGATAATTGATATTAAGTTAAGTAGGAGTACTTTATATTTCATTTATTTCGATACATCTTTCTTAGATTAGTAAATAATTTTCAAAACATTTTAAGCAAATACCTTTAAAACAAAGAGCACATGAATTTAAGCAATAATATTAGCAAAGATGACATCCATCATCAAATATCAAATTTCCGTCATCGCATTATTCATCAGGTGTGACAATTTCATCACCACAAATACTAAAGCATTATTTATTATGTAATTGATATCCAATTTTGCATTGTATACATCCATTACCTAGTGAAAGGTCACATTTAAGACAGGAATCTCTACATTCACATCTATGTAACTTTGGGTTTAATTTGTACACATCAACACAATGATGACATTTATTATTTAAACACATATCACATATTAATGTATTTTAACATTTAAAATTACAATCTGATGTGCAACCATCATTATCATCAGCTAAATTAGCATCATCACACTGTTCCATATATTTAATATCAGGAGCTGAAACAATTATTCCATCTCCACAAATGTTTTTACAATAATTAGAATATGGGTTTAAACCCTCTCTACATCTTAAACATTAACCTAAATCATAATTGCACTCTAAACAATCTGGATAGCAATAAAATTAACAATTCTTACAAATTTTTCTAGTTGATTCAATAGCATCATCACATTTTTCAATTCCTACTATTTTTTCATCTCTGCATTATTCTTTACAAATATAATTATTTATTTAAGTATCTAAATACCAACCTATAGTTGCACATTCATAACATACTCCTCTTACACATTTTGTACACTGAGGTTAACATTCTAATTTACAATTATAGCATCCATCATTTGCATAAATATTTCTATCATCACATTCTTCAATTTAAGTAATTAGACCATCCCCACAATTGCAATCAATATAATTTGAATTACAAGGATCACATTAAGTATTCTAAGGACACTCAAAAAACTAATCAAGACTTATAGCATAATATTAATTTATAGGCATTTCACAATTGAGATAATCATTATTAAGAATAAATCCTAAAATACAATCTTCACAATCATATTATGAAGTGCATTTCTTACAAAATTAAATGCATTCTTAACAATTTTAATTATCATCAAAATAACCTTCATTACAAACACATTAATTATTAATTAATACTCTAAACTTTTTAAAATCACATTAGGTGCATATTAAATTATTAATACATCTATCACAATTTTAAGAACACTATATACATTATTCCTGTATTTAATCAAAATAAGAATTAGGAGAACAAATACATCCTTAAAGAGGATTAATGAATCCTATTTTACACGTTAAACAATTTTATAAAGATGTGCAAGTTAAACAATTATTTGGACAAATCAAACATTAATTAGAATTCCAATCATAGTAATAATTATCTGAGCATGTTGTAATTAACACTGTATTTGGATTTGCACAATCGATTTCATTTATGCAAGTTTGACAACCAGTTCTACAATAATGAACAGTGATATAAAACTGATAAAATCCACAGTAAGCTTCAATAGGTTCATTATCAAGACCTTAACATTCCCAATCAATTTTTAGAGTATTTGAAGAATGTTAATACATTTCAAATATTTTTTTAGTAGTATTCAATATAGTTAATTATTTAACAGGGTTATCATCAATATAAAAAATAAATTTTCCATCCTAAAATGTAGGTCCAAAAACAACTATAAAAGCTATAGATAAACTATGATGAGGATCAAGTATATTAAATGTTCTTGAAAATCTAGCTTATGCCCATATAAAAGGTCCTCCAAAGATTCTCTAATTTTTATTTAAAATCGAATAATAAATATTGGATCCTTTAAGAAAATTTAAACCTGTTTAAGTAACTATAATATATTCAGAATATGTAATAGGATTAATTTCCAATCCAATAAATTCTTTGATTAATAATCTAGAATCTATAATTAAATAAAATTAGAATACATTTAGTAGCATCGCTATCATCAAATTCCTAGCAATGAGTATTATTGATTTTAAATTAATTTTCATTAGAGCATCGAACACATTAACTCCATTTTGAAATGTAATAATCTGTATAACATTTAGTACATTTGAATTTTTCAGTGCATGTTTAACATGAATTGGGACAATAACCAGATGAAATTTCAACACTTCGAATAGCCCATCCTGCATTGTTATTTCTAAAATTAAATTAATTTTACGTATAATTGCCTATTAATTTAAGAGTAAAATAGTTTGTTATATTAGTTGATAAATAGAGATTATATTATTTGTTATTTGAATAAACTAATGAACTTTAATTGTAATTTGGTTTATCAATTTAAGCATATATTATAAAATTATCTATTTGTACATTTGTACCATTTTTATATATTTTTGCATAATAAGTGTCATTAATACGTAATTCAATACTACTTTCAGGAGGCATTTCATTAAAAAGTATTAATTAAAGATATATTTAAGTCAAATTATAAGGATTACTAAAGTTTGCAATTCTATAAATTCCTTAATTCTTTTGAAATAATCCAAGTATATAATAATTATCAAAGTTGAAATTTTGAGGAATTGGAAGACTAATATCAGTAAAATCATACAACATTTACCAATTATATTGTTCAGTATTTTTATTTTCAGACACACCAAACCAATAATAAACAAGTTCTAATAATAAATGTAAATTTTACTATTATATTATTCACAATAACCATTAATAAAAAATGGTTAGTCTTAAGGACAAATTTTTTTACATCCTTGATATTTTACAAAATATGGACATTCTGATGGACAAGTGTTTTAACAAGAATTATCTGGTTGAATTATACCATAAAAACATTAAGTACATTGATTTGGTAGATCACCCCAGCATTATTTGCAATTTGGATGGCATGATAATGTAGAATAGATTAAATTCTTTATTGATACATTACCCATTTAAGTGGATACCTTAAATTAATGAATCCCTTTAATATAAGTTTAATTAATTGTAAAATTAACACTCTGTATAAAGGCATTCTATGAATCGCAAAATCCTTTTTAAATATCTATTTTTTATATGGAACTATTATAAATCCAAGTATAATTTTAATTATTAATTGAATAAGTCAAATTATCCAAATCATTCCAAATACCAAATAATATGACATCAAATGTTATAAAAAACATTTAACCATTAAACTCTTAATTTTTAAAATACTATGTTTATGATGAATAGTTGTTCAGTGTTATATAACTTCCTTATACCTAACAATTTATAAAGTTTGCTGTTGTTTAAATTGCTTCCTTCTTTTCAAAGAAGCCATCAGAATACAAATAGCAAGTGTTAGAAAAACTGAAGCTTTTATTTTATATTAGGTATGATCCAATAGAAGTCCAATCACAATTAATCTTTACAAACAATAGAAGAATTAGGTTGATGAATAAAATCATTATTTAAATTTTAATAAATTTTGCATTTCCTTCTTCCATTTATATCATCATACCATTATATAAAAGATAAAAATCATCATTAAAAGATATTTCAGACAATTAATTTTTTTTCATTTTGCATTACTATTTATGAGAAAAGATTTGCTGCTTGTTCTCAATTTATAGAAAAAGTTATCTCTAATAATTCAAAATTATCTTTAGAATACATAATTTTTAATCATGTGGTTGATTAGAAATTCTATAAATTATATCTAATAAAAAGATGATCTCTAAGCTACCATTTACACTAGTTATACATATTTGAGATTAACAATATAGTAATCATGATGATCAAAATTTTTGACATATAGAATTTTTAAGTAGAATGTATTCTAATTAATTGAATTTATTCTAATTATTAGTAATAAATGAAGAACCTGAATTGCCATTTGGTAAAAAATATAATCATCAATATCAACTATGGAATTTCATCAATTTAGTTTTGAAAACAATTGAACATATATAAAGTATTTTATGATTTATATCACATAATTATTTTAGAAGTACTAAATAATTTTATTTTATATTTTTTCAATTCAAAATATTAAATGATGCAATATGAATTTCTCATCTAAAAATATGCTCAATTATTATTTTTAGATACTGATCAATTACTTTATTTTTGAATAAGATTGTATCATAAAGTTGATGGTATCTTCATATTCTAACTACAACTGATTGGATTCAAGTAATAATATAATGATTCTTTTTATATCGGAACCAAAAAAACTAAATATGATATTTGAAGAAATTCATATTTTTGTAGAAGAATATGGTCAAAAATTTTGAATTGTATAACAATTATTCCTTTATTAATATCAATCAATGAAGAATATAGTTTTAAGTTTATACCTTGAATGATTTAAAACATAATTTATTTATTTAATAAAATTAATTAATTATATTAAAATTAATTTAAGCTTTTTAATATTACTATTCTATTATTATTATATTATTTCAATCTATTTTTATGATTTTTATAAATTACTGCTTTTGTTTTTAAAACAACCAAAAAAATTATCAATAAAGTATTAAAAGAATGAAAAATGATAACTTTTGAAGAAGACAGTTAGAAATAATTGTCATTTTTTTATTTTATAAATATATAATTACAGAATAATGAATAATAAATTAATATTCAATTTTATTTTAACAATTGTCTAATTAATAAATATATTAGATGATAAAAATGTATATTACACATTTTAAGAATGAATTTAGAAACAGATACAAACTTAATAACAGCAATATGATTAGGTTTAATGATATAGAGTTCAATTATTGCTTAAGCTTAACCGAGTGAAAGATGAGTCAAGAGAGTCATCTAAGTTTTAATAAATTAATCTTATCAAATTTAATTATAGTAATATATGATAGACAAAAGTTAAAAGTAGAGTATTATGCAAAATTTATTATAAAATTATTTAGGAATATAATTAATAGATTCTGGATAATCATATTGGTCAATTTTATTCCATAAAATTTCCTCAATATTTAATATTTAGACTTAAATAGATAATAATTAAGCTAAATCAATAATAAGATTTAAGAATTTGATAAAAATATTAACTAAATTCTAATTTCAAATTGTAAAATTATTTCTTTAATTATATTTTTAAATATCAAAATTTAATGAATCTATTTATTTCATAATTGAATTACTTGAATATAAGGCATAATTAAATTTTTTATTTTCTGAGTCTTCATATTAGAATAAATAATAAAAATTATTGAACTAAATGAAAATAAAATTATAAATAATTATTGAAATTATGAAATAGGAATAAAATCAATGTAAAAATTAAACTTTTTCATATGAATTATTACCTTAAAGTTTGACAAAATAGGATGCAATATCACATGCATTAGCAATAAATTCAAATAATAATCTGTTATTAGTCTCAGAGGAATTTAACTTTAAAATATTTTATTTTAAAGATGGAAGTTTAAAGTTTCTTTAAAAATTTTATTGCCCAATTTTAAAATCGAATGAATTTGCTATAAATTTTATTAATACACTAGATTTTTGCAAATAAAAAAAATAGCTATTTATTTCTGGATCAGATACTTTGATTACTAAATGGTCATTTAATCTAATATCAAGTGTAAAATATATTTAGAGATTAGAAGGTTAAGTCTGTATTGCAAGCCTTGTTATTCATCCTATAAAAGAAAATATAATTATTTCTGGTAGTAAATTGGGCTCAATTTATTTTTGGTTTGATCATCAAAATTATGAAGGTTAGCCCTTTTCATAAACAATCTCAGAACATATTAAATGTGTTGTTGGATTATCAATAAACGATGATGGTTCAAAAGTAATATCAGCAGGAAAAGATGGAATAATTTTAATTATTGAACCGAATTCCACATCAGAACTGGATTATTCAAAATGTTCTTGGATAATTAAATAAAAAATCCAGGTTAAACCACATGGATATCGTATATGTTTTATAAATAATGATTCATTTACTTTTTAACCATATGGACAATCGTAATTACATTATTACATTCTTTTAAATGGATAATTTATAAAAGATAAAGAATTTTAAATATAACTTAATCTTGAAGATTGCATGTACTTTTTCCCTCAGATTTATAACAAAAAAAAGAAAATACTATTCAATAAATGCGGAAACACTTTAAATATTTTAAAGTATTAGGAATTGAATAAGGAGGAATAATTGCTTTAGTATTACTAATAATTTTAATTACAATAAGTCATTTTATTTAATGAAACATTTAATCCCTGGATATTTGGAACAGTGAGTGAAGATGGATAGTATTTAATCATTTGGGATGGTATATCAAGGAACATTTAAGTAAGAAAATATACAATATAAAATTGAATATTATTTTAAGAATAATTAAAATTAAATTTATTATAACTTAATATCAATTATTATAATAAATATATGAGAATTATACAAATTCCAACATCTTTTATAATAAATTTCATCTAATTTATTTAATAAAATCTATATTTTTAGCACTTGACCCTGGTTTTTCATTTCAAAAATTAGCCTGAAATGTTCCTCTAAAAAGAATGCAGAAATGCCTTCGATTTTTTTATATTCTATTAATTGTATCAGATTTATTAGATAAAATATAAATATCAATTAAAACATATATTAAATAATCATTTTCAATTTTTGAACTTTTTATATTCAAGTTTATATGAATTTTTAAAATCAAATAGTTAAATTTTAGTTTTTATGGTTACACATATTCATAATATGCAAACTAAAATAAAGTTTAAAATGAATTTTAAAATCTCCAATTAAAAGGAATTAACGTAGATATATCATCTATATTATAGCTATCAATGAAGATCAAAATTTTATTAGCAGAATGTAAAACTTTTAGGTTTGGTTAAATTGAATGCTTTGTTTTATTCTAATGTAAAATTTTTTTAATTCATTTGATTTAAAATATAATTTTCAAAATTGATTAAATAGAATATAGTCTTTCCATTTTTAAACTCTTGCAGCAATTTTAATAATTTTACATAATCAATTTTTACTCACAAAAATTATAAGTTAAGATAGATTAAATTATTAATTGTAAAATAAAGAATGGGATGGTAAAAATAGCTTAATTGTAAAAATAGATGTTGAATAAAATATTTATATTATTATACTGTATTGAATATAGAATAATTAATATACATTAATTTAAATTATTCTTAAACAATAAAAAGTTTTGACGTCATCATATTATTATTAATAATGAATAAAATCATAGCCATCTTGTTTGTTCTATCTATTGCAAATGCTAGATCATATACATTATATAAATAATGTGATTCTGCTTGGGCTAATGACTAATTAGGAACAAGTGCAGATACAATATGTAAAGCTGGATGTTTAGTTTCATCAATTGCTATGATGTTACATACTTATGGAGTAGTAACTGATGGTACAACAACTCCAAAGACAATGAATACATGGTTAAAAAAGCATGGAGGATATGTTTCTGGTGATCTGTTTGTTTGGGCTTCAATAGAACCTCTTGGCTTTATTTTTTAAGGATGGTGCACAACTACATAAGCAACATGTAAACATTATAATTATGTTTTAGATAAATTTGATGCTGGATATCATGTTATTTTGAATGTCAATAATGGTCATCATTATGTGTTGATGACATCATATTCAGGAAGTACATTCAATGTTAATGATCCTGGATATTCCAAAACTAGTTATTCAGCTAGTGAAGTAAAAGAGGCAGCCTTTTATCTTCGTAACAAAGCCATCTATTTTAAGAATCATGTCTTAAATATATGAGTTATTCATTTAATAACAATATATAGAGAAAATATTCATTATAAATTAAACACCATTTCCAAAGATCATTAAATTAGGATCATCTCATTTATTTAAAATCTTCTTTTTATTTCACAGAGTCTTTCATTTTCAATATCTATATAAGAAAATTAATGAACATTTTATATTATTTAATTTTATTTAATAAAATTTGTTAGTAAAACATATAAATACTTATTATCATTTATCATTCCTTTACTTTGCTTGTTATATAATTATATTTTTTAAATATTTTTTTTTTAGCCACTATCAATAGATTGTATACTTCAGATGTTAGTATATTCTTCAGTAAGCGAAAAATTTGAAAAAGTAACAAAATTAGAGTAAAATATTTTTAAATTTATCATCCTAGAGCTATAAGAAAAATTTTCATAAAGATTCAATAGCAAACGCTAATTTGTAAAAGTAATAATTATTAATTTTACAACCAAAATCATCCTTGAATAGTTTTTTTTTCTAAGATTTTTTTATTTATTTGGATCTCTTTAATTATATTATTCCCAGGTCATTATTATGGAAATTTTAAATCTAAATTTCAAGTATTCATTCTCAAGGGATAAAAATGTATATATTATAATTATATTTTTGAAGTAGATGCTAAATGTCGAAATTATTATAAACATTCGATATCATCTGAATTCATTGAAAATTCAAAATCTAATAACTAAAAAGATACTAAATATATTACTTTGAAGACGATGAGTATTGGGAACAAAGTTTCTTTATTATATTAAATAATATTATTTATTTAAAATATTAAATTAATTCTTTCTGGAAAAAAATATTAATATAATATTGATAATTCAAATTTGAATAATTAAATATTTCTTATATTAAACACTCATTTCACTTTATAGATAATTATTGTATAATATTTGATATGTAAAAAAATTAATGATTACTATATTTATTAATAAATGATGATGAATTAATTTTAATTACTTAGTTTTTATATTTTTTCATCACATTGTTAATGAGAACATTAAATTATAAAAATAAAAAACTCAAGTTAATTAAATTTAGAAGAAATAATATTGATAAATAACGTGATTTAATTGATGCAAAATTATCAATAAATGACTAATCATTTCTTTATGTAAACCCTGAGAATATATATTTCAATTTATTGAAAAATTTTATATTTATGTAAAATTTTTGATTTTTTTTCTATTTTAGTTATCATTCATTTATACTTTAAGTTTTCCTCTCATCTATAAGCCTTATATGAGTAATAATAACATTAAACATATTTATTCAAAAGTGGATGATAGAACTTTACCTTTATACATTTGATAATTTAAGTAGTTCGGCATAAATAGCTTCTTTAAACTCTATTCTAGAAAATACAAGTCAAGAAGCATATTTACTCTATGACGATCTTGTTAATCAATAAAGAAGTACTATGTTAAAAAATATTTGTTTATATGAAAAGAAAATAGATAAAAAAAATAATTATCATATTATAATACTGATCTAGAAATTCTAATTTGAATTTAATTTTAAGAATATTTTATTTTGTGACTCTTTAACAAATTATTATTAATGTAAAAAAATGTATTTATAGTTATTATTTAATTCAAGTGTTGGTGTTTTTAATTTTTACAATCATATTACTAATTTAAATATGTTTTTAGATGGATTTTTCAGATTTTATTTAATTAACAATTTTAGTTTATTAATATGGATAGCAGCTGTTAGAGAACCATAAATGCTGTACCCTTTTTATCGACCAATTATTATATATCCATTTATAAAATATTAACATGATTTAGATTAATATTGACTTAAAAATTAGTGGTGCATTTAAAACTACATATTAACTTTTTTTAAATTGTTATTTGAAAAATCGTAAAAGAATAATGTATTTTTTTTGTATAATAGTTAATAAACAATTTTTCTAATAAAATAACCAAATATTTTATCTCCAAAGAAATCATCTTATATTGAATAAAACTAACTAGTTTCATCTTAATTATATTACTGTTTGTATATAGATTTAATTATTGAAGCTTTATAACTATAAAACATAAAAAATTTATCTCAATAATTTAAATATTAATTTTAAAATGCTTATCATGAATTATTAATTAATATTCAAAACTGGTTCTATTTTAGAAATTTTATTAAATAATTACTTTTTATCAAAATTTCACCTTATTTAACAATTGATTATTTCCTTGATATAAATCTATTAGGATTATGTTAATTAAGCATATAAGAACATAATTGCAATTATAATACCAGAAATTGAATCAGCATTCTTTATTATGGTCTTACTAAATTCTCAAGCTCTCTAATTCTGAATAATCAATCAATGAAGTTCTACGCATTATTTTTTTTATTTTTTAAAAGACTCTTTTTTTCTATACTGATTATTTAATATGATCATTTACATGAATATAATTGAATAAAAATAAAGAAATGTTATTTTTTGTATCACAATAATAACCTAAACTATAACCTGAATAAATGCTAAAAATAAACTATAGCTTCATAACCACTAAGTTGAAACTTTACTAGTTCAAACTAATTTATAAAAAAATTCAATTAAATTAATAACAACTATTAACAATCATTATTAACAAACATCAATGAATAATAATGCTTTTTTAGAATTGTATTTGATTAATTAAATACATGCATAAACTTAATATTTAAAAAGATCAAATTAAAAACTATAAAGTTGTACTCTATATTAATAGTGACTAAAATTGATGCTTAATTATTCAATGACTAATTATATTAAATCAATAAAATAATTAACACTAAAGAATACAGAAATTATTAGAATAATTTAAGGTAGATTAAATTGAAATGTAATCTAACCAGTTATATTATTATGAAACCAACAATGTCAATTTGAATAATATAAAAAATGTCATATTAATTAATCTAGATTTCTTAATCAATATACAATGAGGTATTATTATTTATTATGTTTATAATACTAATTAAATCTTCTAATAGTATAAAAATGATTCTTACAAAAATTCAATAATATAATTTAATAACAACATGTTGTTGAATTAGAATAATAAATCATTTTCAAAATAATAATTAATATTATTGTTGATTCTATAAAAATAACATAATATGAATCAACTATACCATCTTTCCTTTAAGTTACTCTATAAATTTGAAATAAACTGTTAGAGATCATTATATGAAAGAGTATTTTCGGCCGCTGTAAATGATTAACTTAAACTCATTAAGAAGTGAGAAATGGATTTTATCTTATAAAAAGTTTAAGATTTTTTTGCCTACTCGCATTAAAAGGGGACATCCTTAATGAATTCTTCAGTGCAGTTACAGATTACATCACCATTTTGAGTGAGGAACTGAGGTGAGCCACATTTCATATGGTACCAAATTCTAAATACTTTCGATGAACAGACACAATTACTAGGGCAAGTCATTTTTAAAGGAATCATTAATCCCTTTTTAAGTGGTTTTTATGGTACTGATATCCATGAAACTGACATTTTTTTGTTTAATAATATAATAATAATGGTTATGCAACAGATGATCAGCTTAAAATGCATAATTTCTATTAGATATATATTTTATTTTATTCTATTGTATATCAATATATTGAATGTTTCATAATTTCTATTAGGTATATTTATTTTATTTTATTTTATTCTATTGTATATCAATATATTGAATGTTTCATAATTTCAATCATTCTTCAATAATTAATACAATTTGCATATTCTTTTTATAAAATATTCTGAGTCTTTACTATTCTATTCAATCGACATTTCTGATTAAATGAGAAATAGTTTTAATATTAGTTAAAATATTTGATTAATTTTAATTTATACTATAATCATAACTTTGATAATATATATATTTGAATAATTCTCTACGTTTATCATTCATATATAAACATTATTATAGATTGACATCAATTATGATTCTATTTTGAATTTTATTTCTTCTTTCTTAATCAAAAAGATAATAAAGATTATAAATTTTTTCTTATTTCAGTATTTTATGAATAATAGTATAATAATCAAAAATTTACATAAACTTCTCTTAATCTTTATTTTTTTATAATTTAAAATAAGATGTTTATATTAATTATTATTATATTTATATAAGTTTTGATTATACTTATATTTTTAATTATTAATATAATTCAATTATTATTATATTCTTAGATGTTGGAAATACAATTGATTGTAATATCAAAAAGAGACTGCTAAAGTAAGAATGTTAATTATTTAATTATCTACACATCTTTTTAATTCTAAGAATTAAATGATATATAATTTTAGATTCTCTAATAATATTTTTCAAATCTATCGAATCAATTAATATTTATAAACATGTATGAATAACTTCTTAAAAATTGATTTGATGTAATGGAGCTTTTAAATGATATATCAGATCTCTTATGGATACAAGATTGTTATTGAAAGGAATGTATAAATAAGGCTTTCACTTCAATCTTTTTTTTTGATTCTCTTGGAACACACTATAAATTAGATTATATTTTGCATAAAGATTCTAATTATGCATGCAGATTTACTAAAATTAAACAATCAAACTTGATTTTATAATCATAATTATATATCAACTTAAACCTACAAAATACCTGTTATTTATTTATTTAAGGAAAAGTTAAACTACAAATTAAAACTTAATACAATTATCAAAGAGAAATAAATCCAAATTTATTTACATATAATTATTTTTGTCTTTTTCTTCACACTCTTAGTAGATTTAATTAGTTTGAAATGATCAACAAAGATATAAAAGCACAAAACTGAAAACCACTTATTGTAAATTATAAACATCTGCATATTAAGAAATTCTGAATTCTCTAAATTAATACCAATATTTAGATATTTAGTATATTTTTTTTATAAATTTTAAAATTATCATTATTTATAGATAATTAATTATGATAAATAATTCATTCTTATCAAATAAATTATGTAAAACTCATAAACTTTAAGCTGTCGCAATTAACATGTTAGCAAAAGAAAAAGAGGATATCTATATTTGTGTTAAATGCTTAATTGAAAAATATAATACATAGAATATAGAAATTATTGAGGATTCTGTGCAAATAATAGGAGAAATAAAATTATAATAACAATTTAAATTAAAAGAAGAAATTTAGAAAGGTTAAGATTAAATAAAAACTTTTTATAATTCCATACTAGATTGTAAAAGTCAAATTGAAAATTTTTTTCAACAGATAATAATAATTTTTAAAGATAATATGAAAAATTTTGAAGAGATGATATCAAATCTTTCTAATCCAAAAATTGATTTGAATTTAGAAGAAGGTATTCTTAAACTTACAAATCATAATTAATGTGAATTTTGCACAAAACAATAAAATTATTATCTTAATATTTAAGAGTTAATTTAATAAACTTCACTAAAATTATAATCCATTCTCTAAGCTCAAAAAACAAAAGCCATATTAAATGAATTAAATAATTATAGTGAAAATTTATATTAAAAAATGAAATCATTTAATCCATAAGACTGTTTGGAAAGAATGCAATAAATAAAAACAAATATGAAACTTTAAAATAACTTTTAAGCTTAGCCTAAATAAATTAATTTACTTGGGAAATAAAATTTGTTGGAGAAGGGTAAATTTATTTATATTAGAATAGGAAAATAATTATTTTATTAAGAAAGATATTATGAAGCAATGTAGTATTTTGAAGATACTTTGAATGAAAATAGTAAGAATATAGAGGCTATTGATTGGAAAGGTATTTATAAATATAATCAAAGGAAGAACACTAGAGAAATTACATTATTATAATAAAGCTAAAAAATGTTATAATATAGTTTTGTAAAATTATCCTGAAGATTATGATACTTACTTCCGTAAAGGTTCATACAATTATTAAATACTAGGAAAGGTCTTACTTAAATTATTATTTTATGAAAAAGCAATAGTTAATTTTAATAAAGCGATTAAATTAAATCCACTAAAAAGTGATCTTGTATATTATTATAAAGGTATTTTTTTGATCTTTGTTAAATTTATTTTAGGTATTGCTCTAACTAATATAGAAGAATTCAAATATGCATATAAAAGTTTTTGCAAATCAATATAGATAAATTAGAAAAACAGTTAAGCTTATTATGAAAATGGTCTTATATTAATTATTTATTTATTAGGTAGACTATTAATTTTTATGAAAAAATATAACCAGGCTATTTTAAACTTAGATTTAGCAATTAAATATAATATAAAATATAAAGAAGCTTATTTAGAAAAAGGTTTGATAAAATTTTGTTATTTATTAGGCCTAGCTCTATCAAAATTAGGAGAATAAAATTAAGCAATTTAATGTTTTAATTAAGCTATTAAAATTGATTATAATTATGATTAAGCTTATTTAGAAAAGGGTTAATAGTTTTAAATATTCTTTAGGTAGATCATTAATTGAAATCTAAAAATTTGATGAGGCAATATCAAGTTTAAATGAAGCTATTTATATTAATAGTGATAATTGTGAAGCATATTTAGAAAAAGGTACTTTTAATGTAATTATAATTAGGGAGAGCAATATTAAAATTAGATTAATATTATGAATCAATAAAATGTTTTGATGAAGCTCTTGATATTAATCCCAATTTTCAGAAAGCTTACTTAAAAAAGGGTTTTTAAATAAATTAATTATTTAGGTCAAGCCTTAAATAAAATGCATAATTACTAGGAATCTATCAACTATTTTTTATAGGCTATTGATATAGATTCTAATGATAATATAGCATATTATGGTTATGGTATGTCAGTATGATAATTTATAATAGCTCAAGCTTTAGTTGGATTACAGTATTATAAAGAAGCAGAAAAAGCTTTTGAAGAAGCTTAAAATATAGCTAATAAAAATAATCCTTTATATGAGACTTAATCAAACGTATAAGAAATAGATGATGATGAATTGGATGATACTGAACTAGAAGATGATGAATTATATGAAGATGAATTAGATTTTCTAAATTTTTTAGATCAACAGGTGTTTTTGGGAGATAAAATTACATTGGTAGAAAACTTCTTAATCCCTAATTTAGGTTGAAAAAATTGATAAAACTATAGATAGTTTATAAATCGAATTATAAAATACCACTGAAATATAATAAATTAATTATTATTTACAAACAGGTATTTTATTTAGCCTCTTCATTAGGGTGTGAATTAAATAATAAATCTCATTACAAAAATGCAATTGAATAATTCAATTAGGCTTTGTTACTCAATCCCTTATAACCAGTTATTAATTATAATAAGGGTATGATTATAATATCATAATAGGTTGTTCTTTATTAAATCTGAAATAATATGAATTGGCTATTGATTATTTTAATATTGCTATTAACTAAAATTCTCAAGATGCAGATTATTATTATAATAAAGGTAATAAACCTTATAATTTAAGGGATTGCCCTAAATTAACTCAATCGTTTTCAAGAAGCAATAGAGTGTTTTTAAAAAGTTCTTGAACTAGAAAAGAACGATGTAGATTCATTAATTAATATTGGTTAGTATTTAAGTATATCTAGGTTTTGCACTAAACTCTTAAAAACTCTACAAAGAAGCTATTTAATATTATGATAAAGCGATAGAACTAAATTCTGAAAGTGATGTAGCCTATAATAATAAAGGTTAAATCTCTAAAATATTTAGGTAACACATTATATTTGTTGGATTAAATCTAAGAAGCAATATATTAGTTTGATTAAGCTATTAGAATAGTTTAAAAACCCGTGTATATTATGAATAAATGTAATAAATTATTTTATTAGTTTAGTTGAATCATTAAAATAATTAAATAAAATTAATTAAACCTAGAAATTGCTATGAGGCACAAACTAAAATGTAATAATTATTAAAAAAGAATTAGGCTCAATATTAATGAATATTTCCATTATTATACATAATTATTAGTAAATATATTTATTAATTTATTATAAACATATTTTAATAGAATGAAGGTTATATATATCAAATAAAATTAAAAAACAATTAAGATGTCTTTTTTTATAATTATTATCTTAAACAAAAAAATGGTATTAATATATAAAAATAGAA